TGAATTTTTTTTTTCAATAAATCGTTACTAAATTTGAAAATTAAAATATGGATTTTATGATCTTTTAAAGACAATGATAATAGTTTATTCTGTTTTCTTAAAATACATTTTCTTATGAGTTACGATTATTTTTATAATATTTTTAAATTGAAAAACCAAAAACATATTGAGAATTGAAACGTTAATTATAATTCAAATTATAGTGCATTGTTAGTTTAATAAAATTATTAAAGTATGCTAATATACTTTGAAAATAAATATAATTATGTAAAAAAAGCATCTTCTTTTAGATATTAATGAAGATAGGCAGAGTGAACAAACAGTAACTCTACAAGTCATGTCTAACTAAATTTTAATCATCTACCGACGTCGAATAATTAAGTTTTCGGTGTCCATCACACTTGCCGTTAAAAGCACTTCAATTAAAACGCCATAGAAATTAACACCGACATCGAGTCTTCAACGAAGACGGAATGAGAGAACAGGAAATCGAAAGACAAGGTGAACGGAAATTTTCAGGTCACCCCGATGGGGAAACAAAACGACAAGTCCTCGATGGAGATCGTATGTTCGTCGTTCGGCGGCTGTCAATTCGTTGGTAGAACCTAGTTGAAATTTTAGCGTTGCGAACGAAGCTCTAACGTAGAAATTGTCGTCTGCGAGGTTACGCAACAAGACCGGGTGATATAATTAAGAGCCGCGAGGGAGGATATGGGAAAATGGTCGCGTTTCGTGGCGTATTTTCGAACGTCTTCAAAAACGGCAGGATACTTTTTCGGGGCGAAACAACCGTTTGTTCAAACAGCAAGCGCGCTCTTCGTTGAAACCGTTGATTACGAATATTTTAACAGAAAACTGAAATAATATAAAAGAGAAAAATATCCCCTCTCCTACCCCCTTTCCCTAGGTAGTGGTTCGCCGCATATAACACGCGAGCAATAATTGAAGGAAATCAATTAGCGGCAAATTGTCGGCGATGCGGCAAGAGGGCGGTTAGCACGACGGGAGCCCGCAGGAAATGGTTGGCGACACGTGCACTTCTCATTTGTCGCGTCTTCCGGAATATTTTTCGCAAGTGACTTCATGAAATTTCATAATGTCGAAGCAAGAAAGAACTCAGTGTTGTAGACGATATGAAAATACTCAAAAAGAGAAACACGAGCTCGACACTATTTATATGTATATAAATGCATACGTGAATCTATATACATATACGTATATACGTATAATATATTTATATTCTATACTTGTACAGAGTGTTTAAAAACTAGCGATATACTATATCTCATTAACATCAAAAATCGAAATAAAGAGAAACATTGAATAATTTTGAAAGAGAAGAGATTTTAGAATATAAATTAATGGCAAGGCTTGAATTTCAAGTAGATATGAACAGAAAATTATTATTCTGGGCTTAATTATTATTTTGCATGTAAATTTATGAAACGCTGCAACAAACAGCAGTTCTCAACGTTGTTGTAAAAAATATATATATATATATATATTGATATGTATCAAATAATACATACCAGTAGTTTTCGGACACTCTGTATTGATAAGTATTATACCTATTGATCCATTATAGATTACGCCAGACGATATATACGTTATATTGTTTTGTATCTTACCTATTTGGTAACGCCATAGCATTTGATATTAATATCGATATATTTTGTGAGAGCCGCATTACACCTTATAGTTTTTTGTAATAGATCAAACAGATATACATATCGGAGCCTATATATCTATCTATCTCTACATATCTAGGTAATTAGGTAAACATTTGTGTTGTTACCAGACCTTAGACATTATTGAGACTCTAGGCGCTCTAGGTTCGATTAGTTAGAGCGAATCAGTTTTGGGCGAATTAATATACTATGTACACGTTCCTACCGTTGAAACTACTAGTGGACTATAGCTTTTGGGAAGTCACTATGATATCGTTAGCTTAGATTATACTTTAGGCGCTCGTCTTCGCGGAAGAACATGCGCTCGCTTCCGCTCGTCGAAGAATTGCTCACAGGGAAGGCAAAATTTGGCCTCCGTCGTAACATTCCCACTCACATTTGCTTTCGCGCAAAATTATTCGCAAGAGAAGCGAGATAAAGCGCGGCACTCTCGACGTCTTCCGCGAAGAATACGCATTACCAGCGGCTTCAAAGAGACCTATTATATTGTACCTATTACTTAACGAGCTACGTTACATAGTTACATTTATATTACGTTACACGTAATATTATACCTCTCTATATAGGATACATACTAAATATATATCGTGCGTATACCTATCTATATACCTAATGCCTCAGCTCGTATATCCCGTATATCCTACTCATATACTACTTGTTACATAGTACTTAACTCTTCTTAAGCCGCATAGCAACGTTTAAGCACCTTGATAATAATGCGTGAGACGTGTGTCCTAGAAAGTATGTATTTATTAGCCAGAGAGGCGCAACACTGTCAGTTTCGTAAGTAGACTAGACCTTGAAGGTGCAGTTTCATTGTTGGCCTCTGTGACACTTGGCTGGGCCGGATTTTGGGTTTCACGGGAATATAGAATATCCGATGACGTCTTACATAATTTGTAACGGGGACGCAGAACGATTCAACGAAATGCATCCCCGATACATGGCCTCGCGAATGTTTCCTTTCCTCTGAGACGGGACACACACACATCAAAGGGAAAACGTAAAATTCTAGTGAGAGTAGTCAATGAATTCCACGTTGCCGAAGCTATCGATGTGACGTAAACGTTAATCGACTGGCAACTCGATCGTAAACTCGAGCTGAGACAGGCTTTATGCGCTTCTCAGAACTGCGAGAGACCGTTAATGTTAATACGTCGTACGTAAACGTCTGCTCTACGTGAGATCGATATGTTGCATCTGAGAAAGTACAGGCTGTATACGTAGATGCCATATAGAAAGCACGCGCGTAATTCGCGCAAAAATATTTATATAGTACCGTCAAGATCTACTATTCACACGTGTTTCGATGAAGTAACAAAGGTATATCTATATAATAATGCAAACAATTCCATTGAGATTAATGCGAGATAGTGCTCGACATATGTGCAAATCTTATTGTAGCTCAGAAGAGTTTTAGAAAGCCATTAAGACAGAGAAAAAAAGAGTGCAAAATGATAGTAAAATACCATTGAGCGCTTGACGTAATCAAAACCAGCCCGGTAGAGAGACTTTAGGTACGGAATTACTAATACTATTAATATGTATCAGTGTATTTTAATGGCTAGAATAAACGCTCTTATATACTTTTTTCCATCTGCGTAATATTGTGAGAGCAACGTCGATATGGATACTAGTATAGTGAGTCTAGTAGTGTAGTATTATTGTGGTCGGTGTTTTTTTCAATATTGTATCGTCAATATAAATGTGGTAGTGGTGCCGGTATTATGCCACGCACACATGTAACATGATAGAAGAATAAAAATATAGAGCACGCTTTTTACGCGTGTATTATCCAAATAATCCCGCAAATCTGTCAAAATTTGCGGAAAACATTCGAGTGGTGGCATATTACTGACCCTTAGTCAATATCTAATAAGCTATATAGAGAGCCTAGCAAATATTACTTAACGGTAAATAATTAACCAATACCTTTGGCGGCTACAATAACCATAGTTCATAGGAGGGTTTATTTTGTCGTAGAATTGGAAACACCTCGGCCGCGCGTAGTTACTTAGTACCTTGTCACACAGTTTAGAAAATGCGCTATATAGTCGATGCGATATACATATATATACATAGTGAGAATCTTAGTTGTGTGGTCTTTTGAATTAGTATCGAATTATGAAATTTCATGGATGCCTTGATCTTTCTATCATTCTGTTTCTTTCATTCTTTCTCTCTTTCTTTCCCTCTCTCTCTCTTTCTCTTTCTCTTTATCTCATATTTTCTCACACTTTCTGATTAACCTAGAAAGCTTCTAATCCTGTTTCTTATCTTTTTTTCTCTTTTTACGTTCTCTTTTATCGTTTGGACCTAGTCATCCGTTACACTTAAATCCCGACGAATTTCTGCAACGCTTCGCTTCATACTTAACTTATCTCCGTGTACATATTTTTAAATGTTTACGCCTACCTTCGCCTGCTCGAAGAAAAATATTGGTCTTGCGACATATGAAACTTCGCGAAAATAATTGACATGTGGAAACTTTATTTCTGACACGTAAGTTTATTTCGTAAGTTTTCGAGCGATCAATATCTTTCTTCGTACGTAGTTGCAGAAATTTTGATGGAGACTTGAAGTCGTTGCACTAACGAACATGCAATATAATAAATAAAGGGGAAAAAAATCGAAAAGAAAAAAAAATTGATAAAGATAAACCGAAAAAAGTATTCACGATATGTCGGTCTATCTCGAAACTACATTTTAATCGAGTTTGTTTTTCCTTATAGATTTTATGTGGTCTCTGGGAGCATTACCTGATGGTGAGTATGTGAAATAATATATACTGACTAGTAAAGAAAACTCGATATCCGCTGACGACTTCTATTATAGACATAACTAAATAATGATCCTACATATATGACTCGATAGGTTTGATACATAATTGCCTAATTTACCTATTTGCTTTAACATACATTCTACCTATCTACATATCTTTCAGTTGATGCGAATTGTATGTAAATATTAGAATTTACCGGATTAGTTACTAACCTCTCGTTAGCTTTTCCATTAATGGAAATTTAATCTAATTAGCAGAATAGATATGACTATAACTGACGGATATAACTTAATAGATTTAATCTCTAGCAATTAAGTAAATAAGTACCATCTTTGTATTTTCTTCTGTTTTCAACGAATTATTATCATCGATTTAATGAAATAATTTATATGAAATATTAAGAAAGTTTTTCGATAGTCTCAGTTCTTTAATAACTTTATAAGTTTTCCTATAAAAATAAGATAACACAGGGTCTTTTAACCTTTTACTACAAAATTGAATTTAATGCAGTAATATTCTTGCATGTTTTCTCATTACTAAATATCGCTTTTTAGCAAGAAATAAATTCTGATTTTTTTAAATATCTTTTTATAAAAATATCTTTATTTCTTCATATTTTCTTGTCAAAATATAAATCCAGCAAATAATGTGTTAAATATTAAAGAGAGTTAAAGAAATCAAAAGTTGTGTTAAGCCTGTATACAACGTCTGTATGTAGGTACTGAAAGCAAAAAAATATATTTCTATACTGGAAATCGAAAAGTGTTTAGTTATAACAAATAGCACAAAAAAAGTGCAAAAAGGTGGAAATTTTCTTATGTTTATCAGCATTTATAGAATCATTAGCGTTACCGCAAATGATTGCGGTCAAATGCCAAGAGGACTAGCGCACGGAAGTAAACGAGGAGTGTAACGGAAATTTTCATTGTGTTCGCAGGTTTCCCAGCGGCAGCGTACGCGGCATACGCGGCGGGCCGCGGCTATTCTGGGTACCCTAGTTTCGGATTACCCTACCCGACAGGTAACCACCTTAGCCTTAACCACCTTAACCACCACAATGCGGCCCACATTGCGCCCCTGAACTTGAACTTGAACCTCATACAGGCGCAGCCCGCGCCCCATCATAACCCGCCCACCCCGACACCGCTCTTTTACCATCCCAATTTGGACCTCTACAACGCCATGCCTCTGTGAACTAACTCACTAATTATTGATATCGATAACGAGCTCTGCGCGCACTCTAACCCATCGCTATACGCTAACTGATTGTGCTGTCGCTTGGTCCATTCAATCCCACATCGCGGCGAGAGAGCGTGTTGCGACGCGATAATCACGAGGAGAGACAGTCCCATGTTCTCGAGGGTGATTCGGGCGATTCGAAAGCACGACGAAGACACGCGTGCAATGCGCACGCAGCGATTTTCGAGGAACCTCGAGGAGTTTCCGCAGAAACGTACACTAACTTTCGCGAGGGGACAAAGCGACTCTCCGTTTCGAGGGGACAGCGAATTCTCGAATTGGATGATGCCCGGAACGCAAGCAGGTTCCGCCGAACGCGCGTTTCTATTTGTACGAGGAATAACGGGAATAAACGACGAAAGATTCTTTAAAGCACGGATGATTACTCTTTAAAGAGGGTTCCGGTTTCGCAAAGTTTTTCGACAACGTGCGAGAGAACTACGATAGGATAGAGAAAACGGGGAAAATGCTGCGCTATGAAAACCTTCACTTACAATTAGAGATAGAGAGAGAGAGAGAGAGAGAAAGAGTTACAGGATTTTTAAGGATAAATTAATATCTAGCGTCAGCTCGGCTGACGCGACGCGACGGCTTGCTCGGCTGCAATATCGATTTGCTTCTCTATGAAGAAGTTTGTATTTTATTCGATACTTGTCGCGATGTTTCGCGTATTTTTTTATAACAAGAACACTATCGGACAGCAGTCAATAATGAGAATCTTATAAATCAATTAGGTTACTATATCAAAGTTATCCTATCGTTTAAGGCTTAAAGACACGAAGAAAAAATTTGTTAGCCTTGATACATACTATAAGTAACGTCTTATTCTAACTATATATTTATCTGTATATTAACTAGACACATTCGACAGATTTCACGATGATTACTTTATTATACATTATTTTTCTACTATATTTTGAAAAGATATTTTTTAAAGGAACAATGAATTCCAAAGGATATAAATAATCTATTCTCTTTCTCGTTCTGCGGTAGACTATAAATCACCGAGTGTTTGCGAAAAAGTGTGTTGCGCTACCCTGGATTCGGAATTTATTGAGCTGTTATAGCTACGGTGCACTATTGATTCTCCCTTGCCGTGGTTATCATTTTTAAAGAATTCAAAATCTCAAAAATATCGCTATGTACGTGTGAACGAGAATATGTAGGTAGAGGAAAAAAAATATAAGTAGATTACGCCGAGTGCAAAATGCCTCATGGAAGTATTCGAACGATTTTATTCGATTTAATATAGGCGTATTATCGTTTGAATACTTTGGTAAGCCACTATATGTGAAATCAATCATTCCTTTCAATAACGAATATATCCCAATAGCAATCTCAATAAAAGCAAATATCCAATCAATGTCCGAATTCATCAGTAAATACCACTAAATATTGAAATAGCCGATAAAAGTTATCAGAGAATACTTTTACTTTTAAAGCGTTTATTAGCCAAAACTGCGTACGGGGGGGGGGGGAGCGTGCAGTAAAACCAATATTACATATTTTGTAAATACACATCGACATTTTGAAAATCGATGATGTCACCAAAATTGAGTTCAAGCTGTTCAGAGCTGTTTGGCTCGGTCAACGGATCGTGAAATCGATCGCGATACAAAATGTGTGTAGATAGAGCGGGGTAAAATGTCATTGTTGATATCTGGCAAGGGTAACAAGTACGTATCGATTGACAATGATACGCGAGGGACCGCATCGCGGTCCACTTTGACACACACGCATATACAACATACGTACACGTACGAAACACATATACGCATTTAGTTATTGGTATACTGCACGTATGACTGCAGCGACTAATAGGGTACCTAGGAAAATGAGCACGTCTGTCTTTCGACGTCGATCTGTTGAAATCGGAGTGGATGATAGCTTGCCGGCAGACCTTTCGAAGTCAAGCCTTCTTCATGACGTATTCGTGAAATGAAAATCACAGATTGCACTTGAATATGTTCAAGGGAAATATATCTCTTTTCTATCGCAATTCGATATAAAATGTGTCTATCGTAACGCTCGATGAATAAAATTAAAGGACAAAAAATCGTTAGATTGTCCCCGCGAATTATCAAACTTAACCATCTGTTCCGATTTGTTTCCGTAAACTTTGCTTTTAACAATATCAAATTTTGTTAACTGTATTTTTACTGATATTTATATTTGTTATTACTTCGTAAATTTTGTTATTTGATTTTTTTATATAAAATTTGAAACGAGGCAGAGCGGCACAAATATATTGAATGTAACAAATATGCGTTTAATAATACTGGAACTTCGCTGCGCAGCCAAACTGGAGAGTTAAAATGAAAACCGGCACATAAAACCATATAAAAAATCATGACGGGGTATTTCACACACAAATAGTTAAAAAAATATCCTATTTTCTACTCAATAAAATAGAAACAAATTTGAAAAGATGATCATTGCGATAAAAAAATTTTTTAAAATTGGTTCTTAAAAATCATTTTGCCAATATATGCTTCTTAATTTAATTTTTATTAGAAAATTAAAAGGTTATTCTTCTTTTGTTTTGAAGCTTTCTATATAGATAGCTTTTTTAATAGTTTCTTTTATACTGCGATATATCTTGGCTCTTCTAATATGTTGTGTAAACTGTTGTGTAAAACTTAGATAACTATAATGCTTTTTTTTTTTAGATTTTCTCACCTTTCTTAACGTTAGGGTATCGCATATTTTATGCACATTTACCTTCGTTACTTCTCGCCTGGTAAATGTACGCACGTTTTGTTCCACGTGTTCCGCGAAAGGCGATTGCGATCGAAACTACACACCCTTCCATCCCACGTAATTTTAACCCTTGCCGCTCCTCCACATGTCAAGCATGTAAAGCAGTAATAACGCGTCACGTCGTTAGCGTCGGACAAACTGCGACCGGTGCCTCGTCGCGATCGAGATTAATTAGCGCTGGAGATAGTGTCGTCCAATGATATCGCTTCAGATTCGCTTCAGAGAACGCTTTAAAAAAGAGCGAAATGCGATCTCTATTGTCTCGAGAAATTGTAATCTATGTTCCTATGTATATCGAACTCTTAGAACAATACGTGGGTGGGAACAGAACTCATAAATAATGTATAATGTTTTTCGGACGTTGGCCCATCCCTCAAAAAGCCTGTCCTCCCCCGTTTCTCTTACCATCTACTTTCTCGATCCGATCTTCGCTTTCCTCAAGGGATGTGCTCGATACCCCCAGAATCGTTTCCAATTTTCCTCGACACCCGCTACTTAACGCATTTGAATAACTTTTCGGAATCACCCCCGCGGCTACCTTTCCACCTTTTTCGCCCGTTCTCCCGATCTCCTAGCCTGGTTTGTGTATATCTTATTGCGTACAGTTCACGAGGCATGGTGGTAGAAGGAAAAGTGGATATCCGCGATGATTGATCGCCATAAAGAAGAACTCTTCGCCACCCCCTTAGTCCGCCTCCCTCAATGTATTCCCACTGTCCGAAAAACATTCGTCGGTTAAGCCACCCTCTTCGCAAACACGGGAAGGGGGCGATCTTCCACACACAGGAACGAATCCAATGTGGGGTAGAAAAGATATTTCTAGGTAGGGGTTGGCGACGTATACTCGGGATATATTCGCTTCGCGGAGAACTTGTTCAGGGAAAGTCTTCTGTGCTCGAACGTTCCCCAACTGCAAATATTCCGCTACTTCGAGAGAGAAGTCAAACGGCAGCCGTGATTTAACGATCGTCGCGAGACATTCACCTTCGCGTCACGAAACGAAAGCGTCGAATGAGATCGTTTCATACGAACTGAATTTGAACCATCTCGTGTATTTCGTATATCAGTAAATAAAGACAAATCTTTCGGCAACTTACAAACGAAGGGGTTGATGCGCGGAAGATGTTCTTACGCAAATCGAATTATTCTCACAAATGAATCATTGTTTCCTATTATGTTATATGAGATGTTAAATCTCGCGTTATTTTCACGAAATCTTAACGGAAAATTATTTTTTTCTTATTTTAATTTCCAAACTTAATTGTCTCTTTATTAAAGACTCATTTTATATTAATTAAAAAGTAAAATTTTGTTTCTATTTTAGTATATACCTTGGCATTTTTAACTTTTTTATTACAATCCATGTGTCATAAAAAATATATGCTTCAGATATGTCGTATGTATGTTCCAGAGAAATACATGAATGAATACGTTGCATGAATGAATAGTATATCAACATTTAATGATACTTATAGATATGCGATATGTGGCATTGTAATCATTAACTAAATTCCGAATGTGGTTACACCAAAATTACGAGCAAATTGTCACAAATTTGATCCTCTCATTTGCCCCTTCGAACCATGTTTTTCGATTCAAGATGGATGAGATGTTTAGTGCGTCAGCATAACATTATGCAGTAAATTTGCTCTAGTTACGCTGCAAGTTTCCGTAGAGCGATGTATAGTCTATTTGTTAGATATTGACGTGAAATCAGTGAGTTTCAATTACGTTTAAATCAACGAAAATACGCTTTCATTCCGGTTAATCGATTAAAGAAAATTTACATAAAACATTATCAAGAAATGTAAAAATTAATTTATGATTATTTTCATACCAATTTTTTAGTGTTTGAGAATTCGTAACATAAAACAAGCCTCTCAAATTCTACAGCTGAAAACTTTTTCTTTCTATCAATAATTATCAACGTAGTCATATATACTGCTAAAATTTTCTCAATGCGACGAGTAATTTCGAAACGTATTTCTCTATCTATCAATGCAGCGAAAAATTTGAATGAAC